TCAGCGTCACAGTACACATCTCAGACGTCAACGACAACGCTCCGGTTTTCCACCAGGCCGCCTACGTGGTCCACGTGCCCGAGAACAACCCCCCGGGAGCCTCCATCGCGCAGGTCAGCGCCTCCGACCCGGACTTGGGCCCCAACGGCCAGGTGTCCTACTCCATCGTGGCCAGCGACCTGGAGCCGCGCGCGCTGTCGTCCTACGTGTCGGTGAGCGCGCACAATGGCGTGGTGTTCGCGCAGCGCGCCTTCGACCACGAGCAGCTGCGCGCCCTGGAGCTGACGCTGCAGGCCCGCGACCAGGGCTCGCCCGCGCTGCGCGCCAACGTGAGCCTGCGCGTGCTGGTGGGCGACCGCAACGACAACGCGCCGCGGGTGCTGTACCCGGCGCTGGGGCCCGACGGCTCGGCGCTCTTCGACACGGTGCCGCGCGCCGCCGAGCCCGGCTACCTGGTCACCAAGGTGGTGGCGGTGGACGCCGACTCTGGGCACAACGCCTGGCTGTCCTACCACGTGCTGCAGGCCAGCGAGCCCGGGCTCTTCAGCCTGGGGCTGCGCACGGGCGAGGTGCGCACGGCGCGCGCCTTGGGCGACAGGGACGCGGCGCGCCAGCGCCTGCTGGTCGCGGTGCGCGACGGTGGCCAGCCGCCGCTCTCGGCCACCGCCACGCTGCACCTGGTCTTCGCCGACAGCCTGCAGGAGGCGCTGCCGGACCTCAGTGACGACCCCGGCCCGTCTGACGCGCAGGCCGAGCTGCAGTTCTACCTGGTGGTGGCCTTGGCGGCCATCTCTGTGCTCTTCCTGCTCGCGGTGATCCTGGCCATCGGCCTGCGCCTGCGACACTCCTCCAGCCCCGCCGCCTGGGGCTGCTTCCAGCCCGGTCTGTGCGTCAAATCTGGACCCGTGGTTCTCCCCGACTACAGCCAGGGGACTCTGCCCTATTCCTACAATCTCTGTGCTGCCTCGCATTCCTCGAAGACTGAGTTTAAATTTCTTAATATAAACCCGGAAAATGCTCCACCGCAGGATCTTCTATGCGATGGAGCTTCTTGGTTTGAAAGTAGCAGCAATGACGTTCCAAAAATGACGTCTAACTCAGCCAGTTTGCAACAGGTGAGTTTCCTCAAACCTTTTCTTCCCGACATGATTAAGTTTCAATTCATTAATCTCGAGATAGAAAGTATACAACTTTGAAATGCCCTGATTTCGTTGTGTTGTGTTGATGTATCTCAGCACAAAGTGTAGAATTGGGAAATTCTTTGTGGTCTTATCTGTGAAGCAGTTGTTCTTTCATACATATTCTTGTGGTGATCTTGGACTTTTTATTACTCCCACAACAACGTAATCAGCAATATCTTTAATATTTAATGTCTCTTGAATCAAATACAAATCTAAGCAATTACATGGTTTTCATAATTTCAGTGCAGCGAATCGTAAAGTGTATTGAAATGCATATATATTTTATAGATATGCATTATATATTATATAATTATTATATACAGTAAATGTTTTTTAAAAATTAATATATCTTCACTTTATTTGCATATGCTTAAACGTATACACTGGAGCTTTTGGCATAGTAGTTAAAACACTGTTTATAACTCCTGCAACCCTTATCAGACCGCCAGGGTTTGAATCCTGGCTCCATTCTCAATTCCAGCTTCCTGCTAATGCACACTCTGAGAGTCAGCAGGTGATGGCTCCAGTACTTGGATCCCTGTTACCCATGTGGCAGATCCAGAATGATCTGACAGCTCCTGGCTTTGGCCTGGGCCAGCCCTAGCTACTGTGGACATTTGGGAAGTGAACCAGTGAATAGAAGATTCTGTGTGTGTGTGTGTGTGTGTGTGTGTGTGTAAATACCTTCCTAATCAGGAGGATAAATAATTTAGGAAGTGTATACAGATTTTTTCCCACATCAAGGCAGTCCTTAATTTATCTGTTGATTAAAAACAGATAATAGCATCTAAAAATTGTTAACTGCTATGGCTGGTGCTATAATCGCTTGGGTCAAAATGTGTTTGTGGTTTTAGATACTCTTATTGAAAGGTAAATGATGGTGGAGTGATAATTCAAGATTTACCGAAAAAAAAAGTAATATTTCTGTTTTCCAAGATCCTTGGGTATTATTTTCAAAACAATGAGTGGTAAGCCCCACTCATGTAAGATTATTTGAAATATCTTTTATTTTTTCAAATACTTCGCTTTTGGGGGGAGAGAAATCTGAATGTCATCCCTACAGATTTAACAGAAGCAAAATCCTGAGTGATAGTTTCGCAAAGTGGTGCAGTACCATGTTAGGACTCTAAGCGTCGCTGTTCACCAACTCGGGCAAAAGAAAAAATAATCCTCGGGAACTCGCGTTATATCCTCCAACCGCCAGGAAAGCCGCGCAGACATTTTGACTTGAAACGGTTCGCATCTGGTCTCCGCTTGTTTAAGGAGCTTCACTTCGAATGCTGAGGGGAGCAAACGGCATGCGGATCTGTTCTTCCCGCTGAGAATCCCAGGGAAATCCCTAAGGAGCCAGTAATGGCGGCTCTGCGGGGGCGCCGGCACCGCGGAGAGCTGCTCCTGCTCTTCACGCTCCTGCAGGCGCTGCGGGGAGCCAGAGCTGGGCAGATCCGCTACTCTATTCCCGAGGAGCTGGACAAAGGCTCCTTTGTGGGCAACATCGCCCAGGACCTGGGGCTGGAACCGCGGGAGCTGGCGGAGCGCGGAGTCCGCATCGTGTCCCGAGGTAGGGCGCAGCTGTTTGCTCTGAACGCGCGCAGCGGCGGCTTGGTCACGGCGGGCAGGATAGACCGGGAGGAGCTCTGCGCTCAGAGCGCGCCGTGCCTGGTGAGCTTTAACGTCCTTGTCGAGGATAAACTGAATCTTTATCCCGTGGAAGTGGAAATCGTGGACATTAATGACAATGCACCCCGATTCTTAAGGGAAGAATTCGAAGTGAAAATTCACGAAAACGCGGCTCCATCCTCTCATTTCCCACTAATAGAGGTCTTTGACCCTGATGTGGGGATGAACGCTCTCCAGGGCTTGCAGCTCAGCGACAATAGTCACTTCTCCGTGGACGTGCAAAGCGAAGCCCACGGGCCGGTGTACCCGGAGCTGGTGCTGGAGCGCGCCCTGGACCGCGAGGGAGAAGCTGTTCACAGCCTGGTCCTCACGGCCACGGACGGTGGCGACCCTGTCCGCTCAGGTGTGGCCCGAATCCTGGTAACTGTCCTCGACGCGAATGACAACGCCCCTGTCTTTACTCAGTCTGTCTACCGAGCGAGCGTGCCTGAAAATCTGCCGGTAGGTTCGCCGGTGTTGTCGGTGAATGCCACAGACCGAGACGAAGGAGCCCATGCGCAAGTAAGCTACTCCTTCGCGAAGATCACAGAGAAGATCTCACGGCTTTTCCGCTTGGATGCTCTGACCGGAGAAATCTCTACCTCTGCAAAGCTGGACTATGAGGACGTGAGCTTTTATGAGCTGGATGTGGAAGCCCGGGACGGGCCGGGTCTCAGAGGCAGAGCCAAAGTGGCCATTACTGTCTTGGACGTGAATGATAATGCACCCGAAGTGGTCATTACGTCCGGCAGCAGAACGGTGGCAGAAAGTGCCCCTGTGGGGACGGTCATTGCTCTTTTTCAAGCTTACGACCGAGACTCTGGCGTGAACGGCCTGGTAACGTGCTCCATTCCCAGAAGCCTCCCGTTCGAATTGGAAAAATCAGTAGACAATTATTATCGATTAGTGACTAATGCTGTTCTCGACCGGGAACAGGTGTCCTTGTACAACATCACTGTGACAGCCACAGACAAAGGAGCACCGCCACTGTCTACAGAAACGCTCATCTCCCTAAAGGTGGCAGATACCAACGACAACCCGCCCACTTTCCCCCAATCCTCCTACTCTGTCTACCTCCCTGAGAACAACCCCAGGGGCGCCTCCATCTTCTCAGTGAATGCGTTCGACCCTGACAGCGAGGAGAATGCCCGAGTGACCTACTCCTTGGCTGAAGGTACCCTCCAGGGGGCGCCCCTGTCCTCCTACATCTCCATCAACTCGGACACTGGGGTCCTCTATGCACTGCGCTCTTTTGACTATGAGCAGTTTCGAGACCTGCAGCTGTGGGTGACAGCCAGCGACAGCGGGGACCCGCCACTCAGCAGCAACGTGTCGCTGACCCTGTTCGTGGTGGACCAGAACGACAACGCCCCCGAGATCCTGTACCCCACCCTCCCCACCGACGGCTCCACAGGCGTGGAGCTGGCGCCCCGCGCAGCAGAGCCCGGATACCTGGTGACCAAGGTGGTGGCAGTGGACAGAGACTCGGGCCAGAACGCCTGGCTGTCCTACCGCCTGCTCAAGGCCAGCGAGCCAGGGCTGTTCGCCGTGGGGCTGCACACGGGCGAGGTGCGCACGGCGCGCGGCCTGCTGGACAGAGACGCGCTCAAGCAGAGCCTCGTGGTGGCCGTCCAGGACCACGGCCAGCCTCCGCTCTCGGCCACCGTCACGCTCACCGTGGCCGTGGCCGACAGCATCCCCGACGTGCTGGCGGACCTGGGCAGCCTCAAGCCTTCCGCCAGTGCGGACGAGTCGGACCTCACGCTGTACCTGGTGGTGGCGGTGGCCGCGGTGTCCTGCGTCTTCCTGGCCTTCGTCATCGTGCTGCTGGCGCTCAGGCTGCGGCGCTGGCACAGCTCTCGCCTGCTGCGGGCGTCGGGCTGTGGCGGGCTGGCGGGCGTGCCGGCCTCGCACTTTGTGGGCGTGGACGGGGTGCGGGCCTTCCTGCAGACCTATTCCCACGAGGTGTCCCTCACGGCGGACTCGCGGAGCAGCCACGTGATCTTCCCGCAGCCCAACTACGCGGACACGCTCCTCAGCCAGGGGAGCTGTGGGAAAAGCGAGCCTCTTTTAATACAGCCAGATTCAGGTTTTTGTAAAGAGGAAGACTCCTTTATTCAGGTGAGATTAATGTTTTTCATGGCTTTTCCAACAGAATGTTAAAATTCTCTTTGATCAGTTCCTTGTCTTTTGCAGTAAATCACACAATTTTAAATCTAGGTTTTCTCATGTTTCATAAAACCCTAGATCTTCTTTACCTTTCTCTTTTTTAAAGTACTTGTTGATTTGAAAGGCAAAGTGACTGGCTGGGGTGGGGGGAATCTCCATCTGCTGATTCACTCCACAAATGTCTGCAATGGCCAAGCTAAAGCCAATAGCCCAGAACTCTTTCTGGGTCTCCCATATAGGTGACAGGGGCCCAAGTGCCTGGGTCATCATGTGCTGTTCTCCCCCAGGGCATTAGCAGGAAGCTGGATAGCCAGCGAGGAAGCCAGCCAGTACTTTCATATGGGAAGCTGTCATTGCAAGCAACAGCCCAGCCTACTGCACCACAGTGCCAGCCTCTCCTCCTTTCTCTTGTGGGCAAACTGTTTCTTGGATTTCATACATCTCATCTTTTCCCAATCACGAGACATTTGTTAGAGCCACTTTTTGTAATGTCAGGGAAAAAAACTGAATTGTAGCCTCTTAAATAAGACTGACTTTTTTCTCAATGTTGTTAAATAATTGTTAGTTTTCTTTCTTAAGACATTTATTTATTTATTTGAGAGGCAGGGTTACAGACAGAGGGAGGGAGAGTTTATTTATTTTAGAGACAGAGTTATAGAAAGAAAGGTCTTCCATCTGCTGGTTCACTCCCCAAATGGCTGCAATGGCTGGAGCTGGGCCGATCCAAAGCCAGGAGCCAGGAGCTTCTTCCAGGTCTCCCACATGAGTGCAGACTTCCACTGCTTTCCCAGGTCATTAGAGGGAGCTGGATTGAAAATGAAGAAACTGGGACTCCAACCAGCACCCACATGGGGTGCCGACATAGCGGGGGCTTAACCTACTACACCACGGTGCTGGCCCCAATTGTTAATGTTTTCTAAACAAGGTAGATTCATGAAAGATATTTTTCACCTTTAATACTTAGTTACTGATTGTTTGTTTGTTTGTTTGTTTCAAAGGTATTCATTGGTTCTCTCCCCAAATTTCCCCAGTAGTGAGAGCTAAAGTCTGAAGCCAGGAGCCAGGAACTCCATCCAGTTATCCTGTTTAGGTGGCAGGCACTCAAATACTTAATTCATCCCAAACTGCCTCACAGGATTCACATTAGTTGGAAGCAGGAATGGAAGTGGAGGCAGGACTCAATCCCAGGCCATCCAACATGGAATGTCTCAATCTGCTGAACCACAAGTCTGCCTTCTCCAAGTTTCCTTTTTTTTAAAGATAAACATCAGTAATACCTGGAGGAGGAAATACTCAACATTTGGTGTTCAAAATACATGAATAATATTCCTAGAGCTGTCATTCAGATGGGCTAGTCACAACTTCTGATTTTAAATTAAAATTGAAAATTTTTAATTAAAAATTTAAGTAAAAAAACTTACCTTGGGGCTGGTTTTTGGTATAACATTTGAGATGCTATCCAGGATGTTTGTTCCTGGCTTCAGCTTGGCCCAGCCCCAGCTTTTGTGTTGGGAAATAAGTCAGCACATGCTTCAAATAAATAAAAATAAATAAACTATCTACCTTGTGCAAATAGTTAATTAATTAACTTATCTACCTCACACAAATTCTGAAAAAATAATTTTATGAAACTTATTTTAAATACTAAAGCAGTATGGTGAACAAATATTTGTAATCACCATTGTTATAATTATTGGATTACTAAATGGACACCTGGTGCTGTGTCCTGCTATATTTGCTCATGCATATTATATACTTAATAGTATTTAGAAGTGAAAATGATGTATAACATGTTTTCAGTAGTGTCCATTTTTAGGAAATGTCTCTAAAAACAGACTTGAATGATATATTCAAGAATGAAGGATCAATAGAATTCAAATAAAAGTTGAAATGATTTATCCCTTTTATAGAGTTAAATTTTTTGTTTATTTGGGGAGAGAGAGAGAGAGAGAGAGAGAGATCTACTATCTGCTCACTCTCCCAATTCCCACAATGGCCAGGAACAGGCCAGGCTAAAGTTGGAAGCCGGGAACTCTATCCAGTTCTCCCACATGGGTAGCAGGAACCTCACTACTTGAGCCATTACCTACTGCCTCCTGGGTTATGAATTAGCAGAAAGCTGGAGTCTGGAGCAGAGCCAGGTGTCAACCCCAGGCACTGTGATGTGGGATCCAGGAGTCCCAAGTTGCAACCTGTAGTTCAACTACCTGCCCTTAATTTGGCATTGTCAACCCAAAGAAAATAAAGTTTGTATCATATAGGAACTCCTTATTCAAATAGTGAAGGGGAAGGGGTTATCATTTTTTAAGGAATTATTTATCTGACAGAGAAAGAGGGAGATCTCTCTTCCATCTGATGATTCACTCCACAAGAGGCTGCAACAGCCAGAGGTAGGCCAGGCTGGAGCCAGAAGCCAAGAATTCCATCTTAATCTCCCAAGTGAGTGGCAGGGACTCAAGTTCTTGAGCCTTCATCTGCTGCTTCCAAGGTGCATCAGCAGGGAGCTGGATCTGCAGAAGAGCAGCCAGGTTTCAAACTGGCACTCCAGTATGACCTGTGGGCATCCCAAGCAGTGATTTAACCTGCTGTGCCAAATACCTCCCCCAGGGTTATCATTTAGAAGAATGATTTATCTCATTAATTATGCTCTAGAGGTACAAATTAAATTATGATTTGGTTGAGTAGAAAAGAGTGAAGTTTTAGTTAATCAGTTAGGGACGGGGAGCTTTCATCTTCTAGTGTTCACTCCCTGGCCTGGAACTTAATCCAGGTCTCCCACGTGGGTGGCAGGAATCCAATTACTTGAGGCATCATTGATGCCTTCCATTGTCTACATTAGCAGGAACCTGGTGTCTGAAGCTGGAGTTAGGAATCATACCCAGACATGCCAATGAGGTAGACAGGAATCTTAACTGATAGACTAAATGCCTGTTTCAGAAAAGAGCAGTTTTTTGTTGTCAAAGTTGTTCTAATAGGAAGTGCATTCTAAGGAGGTAGGAGACCCTGTTATTGGCACTCTTTCGAAGTAGGTTCATGGCCTTAGAATTTTTTTAAAAGATTTTTATTTATTTGACAGGTAGAGTTACAGACAGTGAGAGAGAGAGAAGAGAGAGAGAGAGATCTTCTTTCTGTTGGTTCACTCCCCAAATGGCCGCTATATCTGGCGCTGTGCCGATCTGAAGCCAGGAGCCAGGCACTTCCTCCTGGTCTCCTATGCGGGTGCAGGGGCCCAAGGGTTTGGCCCATCCTCCAACTGCCCTCCCAGGCCACAGCAGAGAGCTGGACTGGAAGAGGAGCAACTGGTGCCCATATGGGATGCCAGCACCGCAGGCAGAGGATTAGCCAAGTGAGCCACAGGCCAGGCCCAGCCTTAGAATTAACGGAACACAGGGGTCATGTGATTTGATGAGTTTTTAAAATTACAGTCAGCATTTCTTTTGCAATCAAGTTTGAGTCCTTGACTTGAAAGTAGAGTGTTAGCCACTAGTGCATTTAAATTCGTTATGCACAAGAGAGAAAAAAATTTAATTCAGGTAATATCTTGAAAATGAGTGAGAACTTCTTTGTAGTCTTTGTCAGTCTTCATAAAGATAACATTTAATTGATGTTTTTAAAATAAGGTGATAAGAGTAATACTTGTCTTTTTTTTTCTATTTAATAAGTTGTCTGTTCAAGTGTACAGTTGGTTGGACTTGTTCCTTCATCAGCCACTGGGCATCTTCACCCTCGGTATCTCTGGTGTGAATTCCTTGATTGTGATTTGAAACCAGTTTGATAAGTTCTTGAAGTCCAGGGAGGAGCAAATCTTTAGTTTCTCAGACACCATGGCTAGGGTTATAACCTCCTTACAGAGTTTATCAGAAGTGGCTTTGCCAAACAAAACTAGGTTGTTGAGCTTGTCTCAAATTTAGACTTTAAGCTAATTATTTGGGGCTTCAACTCAGGCTTTTTCACGGGGTCTTATTGGCCTTTGTTGGCTTTCCAGTGTCTCTCCTTTTTTCATCCTTGGCTAACACTGCAAAGTTCAGAGAGCCTCAGTGGCCACCAGGACCCTATTACATTTTTCTCTAATCCAATGTTGTGATATTTGTACTTCAGCAATTATTGTAGAATTACTTATTTCAAGTTTCCAACCATTTATTCCTAACAAGAGAGTCCACCAATCTACATATTCAAATCTAATTTGTTTGAACATTTGTGATATAATTCTTTGATAATTTTAATCCAGAATTTAGTAGTAAATTACAATTTTAAAGAACTTGAATCTTTGGTATTAGCCATGTGAATACAATGGTTTCTTGTACAAATATGATTGTTTGTTTTATGCACTCAGACAGTAGGAATGTTGTTTTACTGTATCACCAATTTTTGGTCATTGAAGCCGCATCTTAAACACTCATTGTTATAGGCAGTACTCACTGAGATTCACGGACAGTAGGCTATTTTATTTTATTCTCTTTTCTGAGTGACCTGTGGACTATTTCATTAAAAAATTTTCACTAATAGAAAAAACTATTGGATTCTACTCTCACGAAAGTAGTTCATACATGTGGACTGATCAACTGTTTAACATCCTGGCAATTACAGAATTTGCTAAGTTTTCATTAAATGAAACTCTCTGATCTACCCACCATACAGATCATTAACACTAAGATAGTCTTCTGAGGTTTTAAGAAAATACTGAATTTTGACGCATCAGAAAAAAACATGTAATAAGTTATTGGGCTATTTTATCATTTGCATAAACCATCCATTTCTGGTCAAACTTCTGTCGAAGTGACAGTTGCCAAAGGGTAAGAAGCAACATCTGAGAGAACCCTTGGAAAATATCTACATCTTCACCTGGGAATGAACTAAACTGAACTCCAAACAAGTGGCTCTTCAGTAGAAAAATGTTCATAAAGAAATGGGAGAAAAGAATTAATTCAGTGCCTGGGAAATGAAATAGAAATTTGACAGAATTTTTAGAAATGCAAGTCAATAAATGGAGGTTGGTATTCTTCCCAACAAAAATCAATCAATAATAATGTAGTCCCTCTGAAACTATAAAATTATTTCTATTTGATAATTCGAGTTTATATTTTATTTTATTAAGCATATCTTGGTTGTCTGGTAGAGATTCATACTTAGTTTTATGTTGTGGAATAACTTAGATAAGTTGAATACTAAAGATAACGAATTTACTTTCTAAATATTCAAAGAGGCTTCAAAAAGTTTGTAGGAAAATGAGTTTTTAAATAATACATATATATTATTCAGAGACACACGCAATTTACCCTGTTAGCTGAAATGGTTGGTTCTTCTCCATGTGTGATAATGTGTGAGTCAGTACCCAAAAGAGAAGAAAGGAGACTTCGAGTTGCAATGTGAAGCAGAAATTTTTAAAAATTATCTAGAATTATCAAACACCCACCCATGAACACAACTGAAATAATTCAGTGTCTTCAAGTGGATTTTTAGACTGTATCAGAAATATCTGGCGTGAAGAAATCTAAGTAAACAAGGAAATTTTGAAGAATAAAACGGTCGTCCGCGCAATCTATTTTTCTTCAGCATGGTGCAGTAACTTAGTAAGGACTCTGAGCGCCGCTGTTCACCAGTCGGGAAAATGGAGCGAGCGATCCCGCAGGGTCTCCGAGTTTCACAGCACAGAGAAAGCACAGATTGAAACAAGCTCTCTTCCTATCGGCACCAAACTCAAGCAAGCCTCTGCTTGCTGGATTCTGGTTTCCTTTCCGGACGCAGAGGGGTCCACGCGGACACACCTGCGCTTAGAAGCACATTCGGAGAAAGCTCGGTGTCCACGCGAGGTCAGCAGGACAATGGCGGCGCGACAGAGCGGTGACTGCAGGGGATTTGTCCTGCTCTCCTTTCTCCTGGGGACCTGGTGGGAAGCCTGGGCGGGACAGATTGTCTACTCCGTGTCGGAAGAAACAGACAAAGGGTCTTTTGTGGGCAACATCGCCAAGGACCTGGGGCTGGAACCGCGGGAGCTGGCGGAGCGCGGAGTCCGCATCGTCTGGCGAGGTAGGGCGCCCCTTTTCGCTTTGAACGCGCGCAGCGGCGGCTTGGTCACCGCGGGCAGGATAGACCGGGAGGAGCTCTGCGCTCAGAGCGCGCCGTGCCTGGTGAGCTTTAACGTCTTGATGGAAGAGAAAATGAATCTCTACCCTATAGAAGTGGAAATCATAGATGTTAATGACAACGCTCCTAGATTCTTAACAGAAGAAATAAACGTAAAAATAATGGAGAACACGGCTTCTGGGGTGCGGTTTCCGCTAAGCGAGGCTGCGGATCCAGATGTGGGCACCAACTCCCTGCAGAGATACCAGCTCAGCCCCAATCGCCACTTCTCCTTGGTTGTGCAAAGTGGAGAGGATGGAATCAAGTACCCAGAACTGGTGCTGGAGCAGGTGCTGGACCGGGAAGAAAAGGCCTTTCACCACCTGGTTCTCACTGCCTCTGACGGTGGGGACCCGCCCCTCTCCGGCACCGCCCACATCCGGGTGACGGTGGTGGATGTGAATGATCACAGCCCAGTCTTCTCTCTGCCTCAGTACCAAGTGACTGTTCCTGAGAACGTGCCGGCGGGCACGAGGCTCCTCACGATAAATGCTATTGACCTGGATGAGGGAGTCAATGGGGAAGTGACATATTCTTTTCGGAAAATAACTCCCAACCGCCTACAGCTATTCCATCTGAATTCCCTGACGGGAGAGTTATCCACTCTGGAAGGCCTGGATTATGAAGAAGCCAGCTTCTATGAGATGGAAGTTCAGGCTCAGGATGGTCCTGGGAGCCTGGGAAAGGCCAAAGTCCTGGTCACAGTTTTAGATGTGAATGACAATGCTCCAGAAGTGACTGTAACCTCTGTAAGCAGCTCAGTCCCTGAAGACACGCCTCTCGGCACAGTAATCGCTCTTTTCTACCTGCAAGACAGAGATTCCGGGGAAAATGGGGAGGTGACCTGCACTATTCCAGAAAACCTGCCTTTTAAATTAGAAAAGTCCATAGATAAGTATTACAGATTGGTGACAGCGGAAAACCTGGATCGGGAGAAGTTCTCAGTGTATAATGTTACCCTGAAAGCCACAGATGGTGGAACCCCTCCACTGTCCACAGAAACTCACATCTCCATTCATGTGGCCGACACCAATGACAACCCACCCACCTTCCCCCATTCCTCTTACTCCATCTATATTCCTGAGAACAACCCCAGAGGCTCTTCCATCTTCTCAGTGACCGCACAGGACCCGGACAGTGACCAGAACGCCCAGGTCACTTATTCTCTGGCCGACGACATCATCCAGGGAGTGCCAGTGTCCTCCTACATCTCCATCAACTCGGACACTGGGGTCCTGTATGCACTGCGTTCCTTTGACTATGAGCAGTTTCAAAACCTGCAACTGAGAGTGAGTGCACGTGACAGTGGGGACCCACCTCTCAGCAGTAATGTGTCACTGAATCTATTTGTTCTGGACCAGAATGACAATGCACCTGAGATCCTGTACCCCACCCTCCCTATTGATGGATCCACTGGCATGGAGCTGGCACCACGTTCTGTAGAGCCTGGATACCTGGTGACCAAGGTGGTGGCAGTGGACAGAGACTCGGGCCAGAACGCCTGGCTGTCCTACCGCCTGCTCAAGGCCAGCGAGCCGGGGCTGTTTGCCGTGGGGCTGCACACGGGCGAGGTGCGCACGGCGCGCGGCCTGCTGGACAGAGACGCGCTCAAGCAGAGCCTCGTGGTGGCCGTCCAGGACCATGGCCAGCCCCCTCTTTCGGCCACCGTCACACTCACGGTGGCTGTGGCCGACAGCATCCCCAACGTCCTGGCTGACCTGGACAGCATCAAGACTACAGCTGATTCTGATGATTCGGGCCTTACACTCTACCTGGTGGTGGCAGTGGCTACAGTCTCCTGTGTCTTCCTGGCCTTTGTTATTGTGTTGCTAGCACTCAGGCTGCGACGCTGGCACAAGTCACGCCTGCTGCAGGCTTCAGGTAGTGGGTTGTCGGGAATGCCTGCCTCACACTTTGTGGGCGTGGATGGGATGCGCGCCTTCCTGCAGACCTATTCCCACGAGGTCTCCCTCACTGCGGACTCGAGGAAGAGCCACATCATCTTCCCTCAACCCAACTACGTGGACATGCTCATCAGCCAGGAGAGCTGTGAGAAAAGTGATTCTTTGTTGACATCCATAGATTTTAATGCATGTAAGGATGAACCCTCAAGTGTTCAGGTGAGTCCCATACTGCCTTTATTTCCACACAGAGTTCCATTTTGCATAAAATGCTTCTATTTGCAAAGCAAGCATCTTGAAGATGGGGGGGGGGACTTTAAAGAGGTAAAAGCAGATTTACCAGTTGATTTCACAGGTCATGTTTTAACAAGGAACAGGTAGGTGATAGTATCATCTTGTTAGTGAGATCTTATGGGCAAGAAGGGATTGTAGAGGATCACATTTTTGTACCTTCCTCCTACTTTTCATTTAGCTTTGTTAATTTGTGTATTTTATAAAAATGAATTGGTGAATCTTTCGCGGCATGCTAGGTTGGGAAGAGCGCAACACACCTCAGCCACCTTCTTAGGATTCTCTGTAGGATTCAGACCTGTGGAAGAGCTGTAGATTTGTTCATTCAGAAGTCCTTTTCTGTGTCCTGCTCCTGACTTCGTGTACTTCAGCTTGGCCACCCTGAATATCTTTGGTCTTTCCATTTATTTAAAGCATAATCATCTTTTAAAGCTGGGGTGCTAGTGGGAGGTTAGATTGATGCTTTAAAGGATGATGTGTTGAAGCTTCACTTAGATCTATATCAAAGACAAGCAGGGAGGTTAATGCCACAATAAAGGAGATTGGCCACAGTCAACGGGAATATCATTTGGAGTGTTGGAACTGGTGCTTGTGAATTAGGCAGTCACATGTTTTAACACAGATTCTTATGCGCTGTTTTACTGGCAATACCATGTGAAGTGTGTCTGTAGGCTCTTCAAGGGGAAGATTGGGCACGCTGGCTTTATGAAACAACCATTTTATGTGCTCAAATTCTAGGCAATCATCAATTTTATTCACAGATTCTTCTGGGAAAAAAATCTGTTTTAAATAACCCAACCTAGGATGAACTACTTCCATATTCTTTTGAATAGCATTTCAGTAAAATTGAATACTTGATCTGTCTGTTGTGAGAGGTGGATGACAAGGTAGGCTTGATCCCTGGGATGTTTTGAGTGTTAATAAGAGGATGCATTTTTCCAGCATGATTATGTATTTGGCAATATTTTGCTAATAGTGGACTAAGGAATAGCATGGGAGTTTATTTCACACATTCTGCAGTGTTCGGGTGTATAATTACTTGGAGAGAAACAATATTACCAACATCTTGTGAGGAAAGGCCTTCTTGTAAAATTATGGCTATTAGGCATTTTGGAAAAGAATTCACCGACCAAAATGTATTGGATGCTTAAAAATATTTTTAAACAAAGGGGAGAGATTGTTATGAGCCTCAGTGAGCCATTACAAGTGAATGTTCCCGGGCTGTTTCCTTCCATTCTGAGGTCACTGTGTGACATAAAGTAAGTGTAGAGGTGGGGATCCAGTGCTGCAGCAAAGCAGACCTCAGAGATGTTGTGTTGCGAGGTGAAATGTCATTCCCCTGGTCACTGAAGATTCACATTACATTTTGCAATCAGGAGAATAAGTGTGTCATGGGAATGAAGAATCCGCTGATTCCTTTCAGGCTATGTCATTTTCTCACCCGAAATTACCTGCAATGATAGAAATGAGGACCGAATAATGTTACCATAAGGAAATTTCTGGATCTATTTTGGAAAAAAAAAGATGTGTTTGGAGATAAGCATAAATAGCACTTTCTTCAAGATGAATGTCAATGTTGTTGATGTTCTACGGAAAGAACTGAAATGAGTCAGCTTGCAGGTATCAAGAAAAAAAGAAGGAAGCTGATGGGGACAAGAAAGTTAGCGTTTATCCACTGCAGAAATAAACAAGGATGAAAATGCATTGTGACCTAGCCGGTCTAGGTCAAGTCAGCGCTACAGTCATCTTTTTATTAGTGGTGCAAATTTGAAGGTTGCAATGATTGTCAAGAGATATATATTTACCTATCAGATCTACGTGATTTCTCTAAAAACCCGGAAACTTGGGGTGGAGGCCTTTCTAATAGTATTACTTTAAACATGAAACAAATATCCAAGTCGACTTAATTCGTTCACTTATGGACACAATTTAAAGTACTGCTCAGGATAAACCGAAGCAGCAGAGGCTGCAGTTTCCTCGTGTGGACTCTGGGCGCCGCTGTTGGCCAAAGTGGAGCGCTGGGCGCTCGCGATCTCCTCGCGCAGCCGCTCCGGGCTCTCCCGGGCAGCCCTACAGCAGACTCGCCGGCGAGAGCCTCTGTACGCCTTCCCGTTCCGAAAAACAGGAGTCCCCGACCGTCACCCGGAAGTCAGGTCCGTTCGGAGCTCCGCATACCCGCTCTCCAGAGGTTATTGGTAGTCCCGGCGTCCGCAGGCTGGTGAGCGAGCCGAGGGGCGCGGAGGGATGGGGAGCGGCGCCAGGGCGGGGGGCCGCGCGCACCGGCGGCCGCTGCTCTTTGCCTGGCTGCTGCCTTTGTTCTGCTCGGCGCTCGCGGAGCAGATCCGCTACAGGATCCGCGAGGAACTGCCCGAGGGCTCGGTAGTGGGGAACCTCGCCAAGGACCTGGAGGTCAGTGTCCAGGAGGTGCCGGCTCGGAAACTGCGCATCAGCTCCGACAAGCCTTACTTCAGCGTGAGCGCGGAGAGCGGGGAGCTGGTGGTGAGCGGCAGGCTGGACAGGGAGCAGATCTGCGGGAGGAAGCCCGCCTGTGCGCTGGAATTTGAGGTCGTTGCTGAAAACCCACTGAACTTTTACCACGTGAGTGTGGAGATCGAGGATGTTAATGACCACGCGCCCAAATTCACCCAAAATTCCTTTGAGCTGCAAATAAGTGAGTCCACAAAGCCGGGGGCACGATTTATCTTAGGATCTGCTCTTGATGCGGATATTGGTAAAAATTCTCTGCAGAATTACCAGCTCAGTGCCAATGATCATTTCTCACTTGTAAATAAAGAGAAATCCGATGGTAGTAAATACCCTGAGATGGTATTGAAGACACCTTTAGACAGGGAAAAACAGAAATCTCACCATTTGACCTTGAAGGCCTTGGATTCCGGGGATCCACCCCTCAGCAGCACAGCACAGATACACGTGCTAGTGACCGATGCCAATGATAACCCTCCAGTGTTCAGCCAGGACGTATACAGGGTGGGCGTTTCCGAAAAGGTGTCCCCCGGAAGCTCCGTTCTTCGGGTGACTGCCACTGACCTGGACGAAGGTGTCAATGCGGAGATCACCTTCTCTTTCAGCGAAGCTGGCCAGATCACTGCGTTTGAACTGAATTCTAACACCGGGGAAATTAGTACTCTGCGTCCCTTAGATTTTGAAGACGTCAAAGAATATTCCATAGTTTTGGAAGCAAGGGACGGTGGCGGAATGATTGCGCAGTGCACAGTGGAGATAGAGGTCCTGGATGAAAATGACAACGTCCCAGAAGTGACATTCCAGTCTCTACGCGACCTAATCATGGAAGACACTGAGCTGGGAACACACATTGCTTTGCTAAAAATCCGGGACAAGGATTCAGGACCCAACGGAGAAGTTACTTGTAAATTAGAAGGTGATGTCCCTTTTAAGATAATCCCTTCGTCCAAAAATTCGTATAAATTGGTAACAGACAGAACCCTGGACCGGGAGCAGACCCCGGAGTACAACGTCACCATCATCGCCACCGACAGGGGCCAACCGCCCCTCTCCTCCAGCTCCACCGTCACCCTGTGCATCGGAGATGTCAACGACAACGCTCCGGTTTTCCACCAGGCCGCCTACGTGGTCCACGTCCCCGAGAACAACCCCCCGGGAGCCTCCATCGCGCAGGTCAGCGCCTCCGACCCGGACGTGGGCCCCAACGGCCAGGTGTCCTACTCCATCGTGGCCAGCGACCTGGAGCCGCGCGCGCTGTCGTCCTACGTGTCGGTGAGCGCGCACAGCGGCGTGGTGTTCGCGCAGCGCGCCTTCGACCACGAGCAGCTGCGCGCCCTGGAGCTGACGCTGCAGGCCCGCGACCAGGGCTCGCCCGCGCTGCGCGCCAACGTGAGCCTGCGCGTGCTGGTGGGCGACCGCAACGACAACGCGCCGCGGGTGCTGTACCCGGCGCTGGGGCCCGACGGCTCGGCGCTCTTCGACACGGTGCCGCGCGCCGCCGAGCCCGGCTACCTGGTCACCAAGGTGGTGGCGGTGGACGCCGACTCTGGGCACAACGCCTGGCTGTCCTACCACGTGCTGCAGGCCAGCGAGCCCGGGCTCTTCAGCCTGGGGCTGCGCACGGGCGAGGTGCGCACGGCGCGCGCCTTGGGCGACAGGGACGCGGCGCGCCAGCGCCTGCTGGTCGCGGTGCGCGACGGTGGCCAGCCGCCGCTCTCGGCCACCGCCACGCTGCACCTGGTCTTCGCCGACAGCCTGCAGGAGGCGCTGCCGGACCTCAGTGACGACCCCGGCCCGTCTGACGCGCAGGCCGAGCTGCAGTTCTACCTGGTGGTGGCCTTGGCGGCCATCTCTGTGCTCTTCCTGCTGGCGGTGATCCTGGCCATCGGCCTGCG